GGAGAAGAACAAAGTAACTGGTGACACAGAATTCATAAAGATTTCAATTAATGGGACAGAAACCATTTTTAAAAGAGCAAATAGAGAACTCCTATGTAAACCTGATTGGGAGAGAGGGGGGAATTAGAAAGAGAATGTTGCCACAGGCACAGGAGAGATGAGAAGAATCTTTAACTATAGTAGAACGTTACCACTCTGCGTGTGGCAACAAATTTAAAAACTTAGAAGTAATGATTGCTCAGAAGTCTAAGTACTTGCCAAGCGAACTGTAGTGAGTGCAGGCAATGGAATTCTGCAAGGCATAACATAGTTAGACCTGGAAGATATATAATGCTAAGTGAAGTAAGTTAATCACCCACTCAGCTCATTGCCATTGAAAGGAACCAACACATAACTGACCCTCAAGGGGGTTTGGAAGCTGTAAATCACAGGAGAAGAGACTTCTGTCTTTCTCTCAAGGAGCTTCTGGGGGGGTTGAATCTCCAGGGAGGCCACTAGTTTAGCAGAGTAACTGCCTATGAGCTACACCACCAAGGCTCCCTCATCAGTTGTATTTGGATAAATAGTGCATCATCTGACTTTTGGAAAAATGCAGGTAAATATATATGCACAAACCAATATTCACAGGTGGTTCCCAAGGATAGCGTGAGGAGGAATTCTCTCTCTAGGTTGTTGGGTGCTATCAAGCCAACTACAGCTCCTAACTGCCCTATGAGCATCAGATCGGAACGTGACCCTCTCCTCACCCACCTCGTGGTCTCTGTCATGCCCAGGCCCATTGTCACAGTCACCGTGACAACTCATCTCACGGAGGGTCTTCCTCTCGTTTGCTGACTCTTGCCCTACATGATGTCTTTTTCCTAAGACTGGTTTCCCAACTCACCCCTCTGACAACGTGTCGAAAATACGTAAGGTGAAGTTTTGGCATCCTTGCCTGCAAAGAGCACCCCAGCTGCACTTCCAAGACTATAGGTATTAGTTGTTTGGGGAAGTAGAGAATGTAGTATAATGAGCATAGCTTGGCCAACATAAACTCTACCTTTAAGAAGTACACAAGAAAAGAAGGTGTTCATGCTAAAGAATATGACAACTATAATTTGACACTAACAGCAAAAATAACCAAAAACTGAGTATATGATTATATATGTTGATCTGTAGGCATTAACATGTATACAAGTGAGTACATATATACAGATAATATACATATGTACACACACTTAAATTCATAGAGGACACAGTTAACAGTTACTTCTCAGATAAAATCCAACACTTTGTGAGAATGATGTTCCAGGTGTGAAGGTTTAGGAGCTTGGGCTTGGAGCACCTCAGTCAGTTGGCACCACAGAGTTCTAAATCTTTATGTGGTGAGTTGCATCTGGAGTTTGGAAAGCTTATCAGCAGCAATCTAAGATCTCGAACTATTGGTGTTTACTCAATTAAAAGCAAAAGAGAAAAAGAAGAAAAGAGTCTTAGAGAAGATGCTAGTCTGCAGGGCTGGCCATGCGAGGCACAGCCCTACTTACCCTGAGACCAGAAGTGGTACCTGATTACCACCACCAGAGCACCAGAAAACACAAACACAACTCAAATGCTTACAAATCCCAGACTTAACAGACCAGTTGAGACTTGAGACTCCTAGAGACAATCTCCCTGAGATACTCTTTAAAACTTGAACCCAAACTCTCAGGAGGCTTTTGGCAAAATCAGCACATTGGCACACAAAATAAAAAATATCTACAAGATGCAGTAACACAGTGACTGCAACAGTGGGCACAGCAGAGACTATAAGGATGGCACAAGATAAGGCAAAGGTTTGGATCTGTTTTAGGATCCCTGTTTTTAAGTACCATTAAGTCAGAACCTCATAGCTGGCTTCCAGTGAGTTTTCAGAGCGAGTAAATCGCACCAGAGGAGAAGGCCCATCTCTCTCCCTCAGAGCAGCTGGTGGATTCAAACCATGGGCCTTTGGGGTTGCTTCTCACCAGTAGACCACCAGAGCTCCCTGAGTGGTGTCACTATGAGTTGGAATTGATTCAACAGCATTTAACAGCATTTCTCAAAAACCAACAGCAAATATTTACCTCTGTGACAAAATATTAAAAGCATTTTAATTCATCAAAATTAGCCTTTGATGCCAACCATGGCCATCATTAGAAAGACTAGGATATAGACTATGACAAGAAAATAAAATCATTTGACACTAAACATTGGGAAAATAGAATAAAACACTCTTCATTACTGTAGCCTGGAGTAGAAGGAAATAAGTACTGACAAAATTTGCTCCTAGAAAGGTCAGTTCACTCAACCATTGTGTGAGCAACTTGGAAATGTTTACCAAGAGTCTAAAAATTTTTAAAAAAAAAAAGCTTTCCAATCAACAACTTCTAAGAATTTATCTCAAGGCCCTCAATTATGGATGTGGACCAAGATGTAGCTACAATGTTGTGTTATTGCATTGCTTATGTTTGGAAAACATTATAAACCTTATCCTAATGCTGCTTCGAAATAACTGAACAGCTCCAAGTTAATCTCCACTCTCATGAGGTCCCTAGAAGGTACAAACCTTGACTGCTAACCAACTAGTTAGAGTGTATGTCTCCCCCAGCAGCACCTTGGGAGAAAGGCCTGTAAGTCTATTTTGGAAAACTCAGCCATGGAAAACTGTGGAGCAGAGTTTTAGGATCCTGCCCACGGATCTCACACAGGAAGTCACCATCCAGCAGGAAGAGATTGGTGAAACAAACTCTGATATAACTATATGAAATATTTCTATCAATGAGGTTTCATCCTCCAAAGTCTTCCCCCAGAAACCAGTGTTATTAAGCTTCAACTTCTCCAATACTGCCCAGCACTTCTCTTGTCCACTCTCCTCCCCACAGCCTATCCCACTGGATAGGCTGCTGTTCCTTGACCCCTCCCCACATGTTGCTTCTCAGACAGTTTTCCCCGAGAGAGATGACTTTCTGACCCTACCTGGCATTTTGTGACTTAAGCCTATCCCAACTCAACTCCCTACAGAGACCCTGTGGAGTAGCACTGCCCTAGAGGTTATAAAATGTTACAGAATAAAACTGTCACACCTTTCTCCCAAGGAATGACTGGTGGATTCAAACCACTGACCTTTTGGTTGACAGCCTTATCCAATCCTGTTTCACTAGCTAATGTCAGGGACTTAACAATTTCTGAGGCACTTGCACACGTGATCATGTGCTAAAATAAAAGAAAACAAGAAGGGCCCCTATGGGCATTTGGAAAAACAAGGCTGACGTGCCCACATCAGTTCAATGGCCCATGTTACTGCGCTTTGATGAAGTAACCTCTGAATAAAGGGTGTCAGAGCGCTGGAGCATGAACGACACTGACCGATGACAGCCTGTAATTTTCCATCTTCTAATAAGTTAAAATGACAGGCCTGTTATCAAGCAAGGACTGCACGGCTTCTTTAAATTCTCTGGCATTTTCCCCTGGACTCTCGAAGGTCCAGTTTCCTAATGCTGATGTTTTCTCAATGCCCCTTTTATGAGTTCCCCCATGACTGTTTCAAGGAATGGATTTGCAATGGAAGTGTCATTTGAGCATTTAAAAAAATTATAGAAAAATAATAAAAATTTAGTACTTGAGAATCTCAGCCATCTCGTTCTAAGCCGACGTTCTGCCTGCTAACCCACAGAGGGGAGCATGATCAGAGAGTACCCTAAAGCTGAAGCACCCCCGAGGAGGCAGGCCACGTACTGCTTTGTCAAGAAAGTACATGCCAGAAGGCAGGCAATCACTAAAAGACAAAAACTCAGAACTCCAGGTCCTGTGAGTCACAAACCACCACCTCCTGGCGAGCCTCTCCCACCCGGCAGGCCAGCCTCAGCTCGCAGAACCCTGGCTCGCTCCTTCTGCACACATAACCTCAATTCAGCACTAGTGATTTGGAAGCATGCCTCACCTCCCTGCCCAGGTGTCCGGTAGCTCCTCCTCTCCCACCCACAAGTCTGAGCTTGTCCCTTGGGTCCAAAATACCCTGAACCTGGTCAAGCCTCTTTCCGTGGCTGCAGGCCTGCCACCCCTCTGGAGCAGTGTCGTAGGATGTGAACACTGAGGAGCACAGGCCCAGTGCACCTGAACCAGCCAGGACAAAGCCACCAGACCCTGATGGAGGGAGGCCCACCTGATCATAGCGACTTTATGACCAGTCCCTCAGATCCACTGACCTGCCTAATGTCAAACCCCGCTGGGCTCTGTTGTGAGTTGCCCTGGCAAATAGAGTCAAGAGAAATGAGACAAACACCAAGGAATGAATCCAGTCATCTTCTGTCCAGTCCACAGGGGAAAAGGGCCTCTAGAGAAAGAAAAACAGCCCTTCTCTGTCTCTACCAGTGTGTGTAAGGCTGAATGCTTTACCTCTTACAAGTTCACTTTGTGAAGAACCTCTGCCCAGCATTCCATCTCTAGGATGTCTGAGTGGCATGGCCAGATCTCTGAATGAATCCTGCAGGATTCCCACATTCTCTAATATTCATGGGGTCGCCTTTCTCAGAGAACAGTTCTGTGGATAGCACACAGCAGAGATTCCCAGAAAACTGACCCAGCGACCTGCCATCCAGAAAAATAGATTTCCAATTAGCAATTCTATTTATAACCATTTAACATCTTCATTGTTGGAAAGCTGTCTCCCTCTGGGTACTTAGAGGCTGCAATTCCCTCGTGGGGTGGACAGCAGTGAGCTCTGGCGTCTCCCCAGCCAGCCCTGGATGATATTGTCCACCTTCACAACTAGAACCCCTTTACAAAGCACAGCAGAGTCAAGCCTGGCTGAGCAGAAGAAAGGGTGCAGTCATTCACTCTGGGTCCACCACCTCCTCTCCCCAGAAGAGAAGTCTTTGCCTGGTCCTTCCTGAGACTATAGCTTGTCTTCCTCCCCTGGGGCTCCTGCTGAGCCTGCTAGTGCGCTGGGTCCAGCACTCACCTGGCTGGGCCCTCCCTCACAGGGACACCTCTCTGTGTTGTAGGTGATCACAGAAGCCAGCGCCGGCCAAGGCCAGCACCTCATCCGGACCCCCTTTGCCGGAGTGGAAGACTTCTTCATTCCCCCAACAAATCTCATCATCAACCATGTCAGGTGAGGCCTCTGAGACCCTGCATGTTCCAGCTCTGCCCTGCAGAAAGCAGCTGGACCCTTTTGCCACCTTCCTGTTCCTTCTGGGCTGGGGAAAGGATGAAGAAATGGGCCCTTTTCTGATAAAGACTTGGAACCCAGTTCTTATTAGTTAGGATCACTTACTTCTGTTGTAGTTAATGCTCTCAGGGGCCCGGTAAGATCAGAAAGTCTCAACCCCAAAGTAAGAAGGAAAGAGGAAGCAGCAGTTGTTGCTGCCATACCCTCTCCTTGCTAGACATGGAACCTACAGAAGTAGTCTGATGACTTTTTACAGATGGGGAAACTGAGTCTTAGGGAAGCTTAGGCATTGCCAAGGTCACAGAAAACACAGAAGCAGATTAAAACAGAGCCACATGTCCTTGGAGTGCCCCATGCTACCTTCTAGGAGCCCTCAGAGCAGCCATGCAGGGTCCCACAAGGCAGGGCCTCCTGGCCGCCATGGTTTACCACCACTTAACAAAGCTCATGGGCATGGCCCATGCCTCACCCCAGCCTGGTGACTCTCTATTTCTTATTCATTTCCGAGAATCGGACATTTTCCGTAACCACACCACATAAATACTAAACTTGCCCTTTAAATAATCAAGACTCCCAAGGGTCTTGTGGCACTAAATATTTATACCTTCCTTTAATCTGATGTCAAGCACCTTTCTCCATGAAGAAATGGCTCATTTTTGCAAGCTGACACTGAACTTCTTAAAATAGGAACTCACCCAGTTACCCTTGCCCCAAGGCAGAAAATCAGCCCCAGAATAATCCCCTGACTGCAGAGGGTGCTGGGGAAGAGCCTCTAGGATTTATGAAATGGTGAAAATGGATTGGCAGCATGCCTTCCAGAAGCTGAATTCAGCCGGGGGCTTGCTAATACAGCAGCTCTGTAGCTTCTGTGTGTGGCTTTTACATAAAAGTCCCCTATGAAAGTGGGGTGTGCTTGCCTGTCCTTTGCATGCACCAGCTTTTTAAAGGATGCTTTAAAGAAGAACCTGGAGCCAAGGAGCATCTTCCCCACTCTGAGATATAGTTATTCAAGAGAAAATTATGGAAGAGATTTGTCTGTATCCCGTAGGTGAATATAGCACCAGCAGGCCTCTGCGAGCAGGGGACTGAGGCAGAAGCTCTCATGATCAAAGAGAAGTCCTGCCTGGAGTCAGACCTTTTCACAGTAATCAACCAACCTCTGAAGAAGAATTTCAGAAAGCCCTACTGTGAGCAAGGATCACCTACTGTGCTCCTTCATCTAATCCTCCCCACAGTCCTAGGAAATAACTACCCTTTTCAAAGTCACACAGGCTCAGAGAAGCAAGCAATTCACCCCAGGCCCTGTAGCAAGCAGGGCAGCAAGACTGCACCAGGCCATTTCTTCCCAAGACAAAAGCTTTCCTCAGACCTACTGCATAAGGGTCTTTCTACCAGCATCATAAATGGGACCAGAGAAGAGGCTGGCCATGCCCTTTCGTTTCCCAGAGAAAGGAACACTGTTAGGAAATGTCTAATTGTAAAGTTACATGCACAACCCTGACTATCAACTAGCCAGTTATTTCCACAAAACATCTAGGATGCAGGTTTTCCAGCCTTGTGGTCGCAGCACAAGACAGAGTGGACACTTCAGAGCAGGGCCACCACACCCACTGCTCCAGGAAGCTGACTTCCTGGCATCCCAAAAGGAGCACGCTACCTTCCTTCTTTACCATTTCAAAAGATGTGTGCGTGTTACAAAAGCATAAATCAGGCACATCCGTAATATAACTGCACCTGGTTTTGAGATCATAAGCAAACCACTTATGAAGCCAGCGCTGGGTTGAGTCAGCTCCAACTCCAGGCAATCGATGTATAAATACAAAATGTTCCCCAGTCGCAAACTATCTTCCCACCTGCTGGCATGCTCACATCTGTTGTTGCAGTCACTCTGTATTTTGAGTGCTTTGCAACCTGAGGGGCTCACCTTCCAGCACTATGTTCATCACCATCAAGGCAGTTCCAGCTTATGGTAAACCTATGTTGCAGAGTAGAATTGCTCCAGAGATTTTTCAAGGCTGGAACATTTTAGAAACAGACCATCAGGGCCTCTCTCTCGAGGTTTCTCTGAGTAGATTTGAACTACCAATCTTCCTGTTATTATTCATCTAATATCAAGCCATTTGTACCACCTAAAGACTTCCAGCAACCCAACTCCCTACAGATTGTGTGACCAGAGACCCCCTACAAAGAGACCTCTAGTAGTGTATTGGGCGATATTCTGTTGTGATCCTTAGGGTCTTTATTGGCTAATTTTTGTGAGAGTGCCAGGCCTTTCTTCCTAGTCTTAGTATGGAAGCGCCACTAAAACCTCCCATGGGTGGCCCTGCTGGTATTTGAAATTATAGAAGCATACCTTCCAACAACACAGCACCATGAAAGCCACCACAGTATGGCAAACTGACAAATGGTGGTGTCCTGGGGTAGATCTTATTAATAGATTGTTAATACCTTGAAGGAGAAGAATGAATAGAAAAACAGAAAGTTGAAGACAAATGGCAATTCCCTTTCCCTAATAGGAGACTTCCAGATTTCTAACCACAGTTCTTCCCCTCTCAGGTTCGGCTTCATCTTCAACAAGTCTGACCCTGCTGTTCACAAAGTGGACCTGGAAACACTGATGCTCCTCAAGACCATCAGCCTGCAGGGCGCGGGCTGCGTGCCCCAGGCCATGGCGCACACACACCTGGGCGGCTACTTCTTCATCCAGTGCCGGCAGACAGGCGCCGCCCCCGCCGCCCCGCAGCTGCTGTTGGACGGTGTCACGGACTCCGTGATTGGCCCCAACGGGGACGTTACAGGCACCCCACACATGTCCCCGGACGGGCGCTTCCTCATCAGTGCCGCTGCTGACAGCCCCCGGCTGCACGTGCAGGAAATCACCACCTGGGGGGCGATCCAGACCCTCTACAACCTGAGGGTCCCCCAGGGGATCTCGGCCTTGGCGTTCCAGCGCTCCTTCAGCGAGGACAGCCGCTACCACGTCTACGCCGCCCTGGAGGGGGAGCCCGGGCTGCTGTTCCTGGAGCTGTCCACCGGGAAGTGGGGTGTGCTCAAAAACTTGAAGGAGCCGCCCGCCCAGCCGGCCTGGGGCTGGGCCGGACCCCGCAGGGTCGTGAGGGACAGCGGGCTCTTCGGACAGTACCTGCTGACGCCAGCCCAGGAGTCACTTTTTCTCATCAATGGGCGGCAAAATGCACTGCGATGTGAGGTGGCAGGCGTCAAAAGGGGGACCACGGTGGTGTGGGTGGGTGAAGTATGAAGGCACCCGGAGCCCCCGGCCAGGGAGCACCGCCCAGTCCTGACACGGCAGCCCCAAGCAGGCGCACTGTACATTTTTACAGACAAAAAGCAAAAACCTCTCTCCGCTTTGTGGTTCACCACTGGTCTCCTTGCAAGTTTCCTAGTATAAGGTATGCGCTGCTAACAAGATTGGGGTTTTTTTCGTTGGGAAGTATGATTTATGCCTTGAGCTGTGACGAGAGCACATGCTGCTGTGTAAAGGAATCATTTCTGTGCCGAGCTGCCCGCCGCGTGACCTGGGGGCGCTGTGGAGCCAGGAGAGTCTGCTTTTCCAGGCACTTGTGTCAGTTGCCTTCACCTAGCCGTTGTCCTTGACCGTGGGCTCCAGCAGACTTCACCCTGGTGGGGCGACCCCTGCCGGGCCGGAGGTTCACCAGGTGCCGGGCGCCCCTTTCTAGCCCCAAGGCCACATCTGCCCTCGCGCTGCCCTCTTTCTCCTTCACAGCTGCTTCTTGCTTTTCTTCTCATCTGACTTGTGATAAGCCTGCGGGAGAGCCCACGTGACTTGTTGCATTTGAGGGGGGATGGGGAAATCACTCACTTTATTTTGGGAATTTTTGATTAAAAAATAATAATTTTTTATAATGTCAGATCAGATGCTAGTAAGCAGAAAGATCCTCACCGCGGTCCGGCTCTGTTCTCCCCTGCCTTAGGCCAAGTGTCTGGGAGTCACACCCCACATTCTACAGCCAGAAAGAAGAGCTCCTTGGATGTACCTGTGGTCGTTCGAGAATGATGGTCCTCTAAACCATTGCCACCCCCTGTTTATCCAAGTACAAAGAAAGCCACCACTTTGGTAAAGAAGGCATAATTCAATGTTGAGACCCCTGACACCAGGCCAGACCCTGCGTGCCCGCTTTCGCCACTGAAGGAGGGACATTGAACCCCTGGGTTCTGAATAGACTGAGCTTGCCAGGCACTGTGCGGTCTATCTTCAGATAATGACCCCTAGGCTCACTGCAGAAACCCAAGAACTTAGGCTATGTCCTGTCCAAATGGGTTTCTTTTCTATCTCTAGCCCTGGCTCTCGCCTGGAGTGACTGCAGTCTTTACATCAGTGCTGCATAGACAGCACGTTTCAGTATGAGTTTTCTTACACACAGCACCTCTCTCTGTCTCTCCAATACCTAGAGCCAGGAGCAGGCAGGCTGGCCCCGGGGCATTTTCCCCAGTGTCTCGGACCACAGTGGGCTTTCAGATGCAACAGCACCAGCATCAAGCTGCAGCCCTGTGAAGACAGCTAGTGTCAAAGAATCTCACCGAGGAGGTTTGCATGGTCCCCAAATACTCCTTTCCTCCTTGCTCACTCACATCAGTGGCTGAAATACCTGCTTTCTGGCTTGAATGGTCACTTTTCAAGCACCTGGGGTTGGATGGGAGAGGCGGTCCCATTATGGACACGTTAGCTAATGTAGCTACCTTCACCCTACCTATAGGGCTGTGATTTCCCTGTGCTGTGAGAAGTGATGCCTGTCATTGCAAACAAAGAAGGAAGAGGTTGATTCTGCATCTCACTAAATTTTTCCACATATACTGCAACCCCATAAATAATGTACACACATATATAATGCACTTAGCACCAGTAGGAAACTAATACCCTTGGGGGTTTCACGCTTTGCAAAAACCATATCGCATGCATTATTTGCATAAAAGTATGGCACTCGTAGCTTTTACCTTCCCCCTGGCTGTTCACCCCATCTGCTCACCCTCCCCTAGAAAGTCCTGGAGAGCAGCCAGGGCCACCAAACACCTGCTGCAGTGTTTGCTCCAGGACCTAGACGTGTCCACTCAGGTTTCAGGTTCTCTGGAGATGAAGAGTGCAGGCAAACATGGAGGTAACAGTTCTGTTTCAGTGTAGCTGGGAAGGATGGAAAACACTCTAACCTTTATCTCCCATCCCTCTCCCCATCTCCACATCTTGACACATCTACTCCCAAGCTCACATTTTTTACCTCTGAAATGCTCCAGCTTTTGTGAACTTCTCCCGTTGGTGAAATCTTCTTTGTCCTGGCAGCTCATGACAGAAAGACAGTCTCTGTGCCTAACAGAAGAGTCCCACTGACCACGAGGCTAGAAGATAGGACCATCTTGGTCTCAGGTCTCCTAAGAAAAGACCATTTTGACCAAATTAGCATGACTTGCTAATTTGGTATTGAAGTGGTCATATTCTGCCACCTCTGTTCCTCCTCTACTTTTTCTTCCATGTTTAGCTTTCTGTTTCTCTCTGCCATCGTGGTGCAGTTACTGGGGAGAGCACACACTGACCACACCAAATTGAAGCAGGAAGATTGCAAGCTGGAAGTCCCGAGTTTCAGAATCTGGCCCAGGAGGTAAACTCACCAAGGCTGGAGTGAAAAGAGGTGGTTCTATACTGAGACCATCTGAGCTTCTCAGGCTAGCAGTAAGGGAAAGGTTAATTCTGCCCCTGTCTGTCCCTCCTCCCACTCTCCAGGGACAGAAAGGGGCCTGGAGTGCATTTTTAGGACTACTGGTATACCACAGCATCGCTGAAGGTGAGCTCCTCCACACAGACCAGCACCTGAGCCTTCTCATGAACTCAAAAGGTCAGTTAATTAGTATTATTAAAGAAGCATTTGCTCTGCCAACAGCATCACCAAAAGGCCACTTACATAACTAACTCCCTTATTTTTAAACAAAATTAATATCATAGAAATTCAACATAGATCCCCCACCACTACTTTAAAAAAAAAACCCAAACATATAAACTATTGAAATTACATTAATACCCCTCATCCTCTTGTCTGAGTAAGCAGAACTCCTACTACAAAGCTCTATGTTCAAAGCCCACCTGGTCACTGATAGGTCAGTGATGGTGACAAACAGAGTGGTTGCAGCAATGGGCTCAAACTTATCAATTACCATAAAGATGACCATTTCACTCTGTTTTACATAAAGTTGTCATGAATCAGAGCCAACTCAATGACAACCAACCATAAATGATGACACTGCACCCTGAATAAGCCAGTCTTAGAAAGGACCCCATCCAGAGAACTGAGCGCCATCACTCAGCTTACAACAACATCGACCCAGCAGCCCGACCTGGGTCTGGCCCAGGCTTATTTCTTAGTCTCCTAATGAACTGCCAGAAATTCAAGCTGCACTCAGAAGCAATGGATAGAGCACAATCATTACTGGGATTAGATGGATCTTGGCTAATGCAGAGAATACCAGAAAGATGTTTACCTATGTTTTCTTAACTTTGCAAAGGCATTCGACAATATGGTTCATAAAAAGAATGAGAATCCCAAAATCTGTAATTATGCTCCTGTGGAACCTGTACATAGACCAAGCAGCAGTCTTTCAAACAGAACAAGGAGGTAAAGCGTTATTTAAAGTCAAGAAAAGTGTGTATCATCGTTGTATTCTTTTCCCATCCTTATTCAATCTGTATGCTGAGTAATCTGAGAAGCCAGAATAAATGAAGAACATGCCATTAGTGTCAGAGGAAGATACATTAACAACCTGTGATATGCAAATTCCATAGTCTTGCTTGCTGAGAATGAAGAGAAATACTGATGAAAAAAAAAAAATTAAAAGACTCTAGCCTTCAGTCTGGGTTATACCTGAATAGGAAGCAAAATCCTCACAACTGGACCAAGAAACAACATCATGACAAATGGGGAAAAGATCGGTGTTATGAAGATTAATTTCATTTTCCTTAGATTCACATTCAACATCCATGGAAGCAGCAATCAAGAAATCAAATGGGGAAGTCTGCTGCAAAGAACTTCTTTAAAGTACTAATAAAGCAAGGATGTCACTTTGAGGACTAAGGTGTGTCAAACATAAGTCATGATATTTTCAACCCTGTCATATGTTTGTGAAAGCTGGACAATGATGACTGAAGAATTGATGCCTTTAAATTACAGTGTTGGCAAGGAACCTTGCATATACCATGGACTACTGAAGAACAAGCAAGTCTCTCTTGGGAAGAGTACACCCAGAATGCTCTGTGCTTTGGACATGTTATCAGGAGGGTCTAGCCTCAGGAGAAGGATATCAAACTTGTTAAAGTAGAAGATGAGAAAAAAAAAAAGACAAAGACCCTCAGTGAGATGGAACAACACAGCAGCTGCAAGAATGAGCTAACACACAGCAGCCTGTGTCAGGAGGGTCGGAACAAGGCATGTTTGATTCTGCTGTACGTACAGCCTCTGGGAATTGGAACTGACTTGACAACACTTAACAACAAGCCATCTGAGCACCCTGCTACCTTCCCTAACTCCCAGGAAGGTGCTAGAAGAGCCCTATAAAGCCTTATGGGGCCAGCCATAAGACCAAGTTTCTAATTGTATCAAACTTGAGAGAGAGAATGCATCCCAACAATGCCCATACCCAACCTGCCTTATTCCCATTTCACTGTTCATCTGTTCAAGAAAAGGGCTCCCAGTCCCAGGCAGTGGCTGTAGGAGGGCTTTCAATCCCAAATAAAGCTCTGAACTTCCTGGTGCCCTGGAGAATTAGAACTGGCCCAGCTTCACTAGGAAAGCAGCCAGGAGTAAGCTTTGCATGGCCACAACTTCTTGTTTTCTGTTGACCAAAACCTGTGAGCTAAAGAAGATTTCAGAACTGAAATATGAAAAAGATTCATTCGGGATATATTTTTCTACAAGAGGCTTAAAAAGTCATCGGTTCATGTTTCACAATGTGTTTCGTTCTAATACCACAGACGCTGAGCCATCCTCAATAGCACATCCCACACCACCTGCCTCTCTCTCCCCTCTAGCCTCCAGGAGTTGGCACCCATCTTCCTCATATGCACCCACCTATCTACCTCACATTCGTCCCTCACACTCACAACTCAACACACCCGGAGTGTTGTACCCCCACCAGTAGGCCAGGCAAGCACTATAGGATGATGCCAGTGCTGCCCACCTACCCCACCAGCCCAGTTCTCATGCCACAGAAAGAAAGCACTGAGACATGGCCCCTTGCTGT